TGACTTGCACTCGACCTGACCTCGCGTACCCTCTTGGTCTCCTGGCTCGCTACGTGGCTCCTGGTCGGCACCGACCTGAGCACATGGCTGCTGCTAAGAGGGTACTGCGTTACTTGTGCAGCACATCAGGCATGGGGCTAGTGCTTGGAGGGACGAGCCCAGTTGTCCTCACTGGGCACTCAGACGCTTCTTGGGTTGACGACCTGGCTACTCAGCGGTCGTCACAGGGTTACACCTTCAGCCTTGGCTCTGGTTCAGTTTCGTGGCGTTCTACACGCTCGACTTCAGTTCTCGGCTCCAGTTGTGAGGCTGAGATCTACGCCACCGCCATGGCTGCACAGGAGTTACGCTGGCTCACCTACCTGCTGACTGACTTGGGAGAGCAGCCTCGTTCTCCTCCAGTGCTGTACGTTGACAACAAGGCCGCCATTGCCTTGTGTGAGGAGCACAGACTGGAGCACAGAACGAAGCACATTGCTCTGCGGTACTTCCTGGCTCGAGAGTTGCAGCAGCGAGGCCAGCTTCGTCTTCGCCACGTGGCCACTCGGGCCAACACTGCTGACATATTCACCAAGGCACTTCCGTCTGGTGATCATCAGCGCTTTTGTACTCTGTTAGGCCTTGTGCCTACGTTTCCACACTTGCTGTAGTCTCTGCTTGTACTGTGATCTGTATATATATATATATATGCATGCTGGCTCTTGCTAGGTAGCCATCACTGTACTGTTATTGCTGCATATATATCTCTGCATGTGAACTGGCCCAGTGGCCCTTTGCTTGTGCTCAGAATGCGTGGTGACGTTGTGATCCACCCTGAGCTTGTTTTGCTTCTCTTGACTGGTCGTGTGACCCCTTGTTCTCCCCCACTTTGCCTATGGGGGTGTGTCAAACTATATGTGCTGCATATTGTCTAGGCTGTAGTGGGGTAGCCCATATGGGGTACAACCTAGTTAGGGTTTACTACTTGTACTCCTGCATCCTGTTAGTTCATTCATTCCTGCTGCTAGATTCTAACACCGCCACTGCAGCAGCCCCCTCTGGAGCAGCACGTACCTGCAGCAGCCGCCCCTGGCCCCTGGAGCCGCCGCCACTGCAGCAGCCGCCCCTGGCACCTGGAGCAGCTGCCGTCGCGGCCCGGCCTCGCCCTGCAGCAGCTGCCGCGGAGCTCCCTGCTGCGGCCCGGCCCAGCCCTGCAGTTGTAGCGGCCCCGCTGTCGCCACCGTCTTGCGCCTGCCGCGCCGACCACTGGTGAGCATTGCCCAGCACTTCTACAGCTGCTACTGCTGCTACTGCTGCTACTGCCTTTTCTACTCCCACTGCCACAGCTCCTGCTGTTACTACTGTTGCTGCCGCTACTGCTACTACTGCTGCTCCTGGCGTGGCCAGATGCAGCTCCAGGGCCGTGCGCGTGAGTCCCTCACGCCCCAGCAGCTTCGTGCGCGTGAGTGGTACGCTAGTTGGGGCTGTCGGGGTGGCCGTAGTGGTGGTCGCTCTGGAGTGGGTCGGTCGGGAGCTTCTGGTAGTGGACAGGTGCAGCAGCAGTGTCCTCTTACGCTCCAGCGGGCCCGAGAGTGGTACGCCAGTTTGGGCTGTCGGGGTGGCCGTAGTGGTAGTCGCTCTGGCGTGCGTTGTTCGGGAGCATCTGGTAGTGGACAGGTGCAGCAGCAGTGTCCTCTTACGCTCCAGCGGGCCCGAGAGTGGTACGCCAGTTTGGGCTGTCGGGGTGACCGTAGTGGTAGTCGCTCTGGCGTGCGTTGTTCGGGAGCATCTGGTAGTGGACAGGTGCAGCAGCAGTGTCCTCTTACGCTCCAGCGGGCTCGTGAGTGGTACGCGAGTTTGGGCTCTCGGGGTGGTGGTCGTGGTAGTCACTCTGGAGTGCGTCGTTCGGGAGCTTCTGGGCGCGGACCGGTGCAGCTGCCGTGTAGTGTGAGTGAGGCTGCCGCTCTAGGTGCTAGTGAGACCGCCACTGCAGGTGCTCGCGTGTCTGCCACCTCAGGTCCTGGTGAGGCTGCTGCTCTAGGTGCTAGTGCGTCCGTGCCCGCTGGTACTGAGTCGACTGCAGCACTGCACACCTTCACACTGGACTCAGGTGCTTCTCGCTGTTTCTTTCGTGACCGCACTGTCCTTGAGCCACTCGCTCGGCCAGTTGCTGTCTCCCTCGCTGACCCCTCTGGGGGTCCGGTCGTTGCGACCTCCTCCACTGTCCTTCCTTGTCCTGCGGTCCCGTCAGGCACGCTGTCAGGTCTCTACCTCCCCTCGTTCTCTACGAACTTGGTGGCAGGTAGTGCGCTCCAGGACGGGGGTGTCCACCAGTTCACCCCTGCTTACGAGCGCGTGACCCACTGCACGTGTGCTCGGACGGGCCGTCACCTGGCTACCTTCACTCGGCAGCCGGGGTCGGACCTGTACACACTGACCACTGAGTCCCCTCAGGTAGCTGCGTCCGCGTCTGCGTCTGCGTCAGGTCAGCTGTCCGCCCCCTGCTCGTGTCGCTCTCTGGCGCATGAGACTGTCCTCTGGCACCACCGCCTTGGTCACCCGTCTGTGCAGCGCCTTCGGGCCATGCACTCCAGGTACCTTGTCTCTGGTCTTCCCAGGGTTCTCCCTCCCCTCCCACCCTCGCCTGCTCCTCCCTGTCTTCCCTGTGTCGAGGGGCGGCAGCGCGCCGCTCCTCACTCCTCCTCCTTCCCCCCGACGACTGCTCCTTTGCAGACGCTCCACATGGACGTGTGGGGCCCAGCCCGCGTCCGTGGTCAGGGCCAGGAGAGGTACTTCCTGATTGTTGTTGATGACTTCTCGCGCTACACCACGGTCTTCCCCTTGCGCGCCAAGGGTGACGTCCCTGATGTCTTGATCCCTTGGATCCGCAGATCTCGTCTCCAGCTCAGTGAGCGTTTCCGCTCCGACTTCCCTGTCCTGCGTCTGCACTCTGACAGAGGTGGGGAGTTTTCCTCTGGCCTCTTGGAGGCCTTCTGTCAGCAGGAGGGCATTGAGCAGTCGTTCACGCTTCCGGCCTCTCCACAGCAGAATGGGGTTGCTAAGCGCCGCATTGGCTTGGTCATGGAGGTCGCTCGTACCTCCTTGGTTCATGCGGCTGCCCCCCACTTTCTGTGGCCGTTTGCAGTCCGATACGCTGCGCATCAGCTCAACCTCTGGCCCCGTGTCTCCTTACCGGAGACTTCTCCGACACTGCGTTGGACGGGAGAGGCTGGCGATGCGTCGCGTTTTCGGGTCTGGGGATCCCGAGCTTTTGTTCGCGACACGTCCGCGGACAAGCTCTCCCGTCGAGCTGTCCCCTGTGTTTTCCTTGGCTTTGTCCCGGACGCGCCTGGTTGGCAGTTCTACCACGCCACCTCGCGTCGGGTCCTTGCCTCTCAGGACGTCACTTTTGACGAGTCCGTCCCCTACTACCGCCTCTTCCCCTACCGCACTGCCCCGCTCCCCCCCCCGCCTCTCTTCCTCGCTCCAGGTGCTGAGGTCCCAGACCCCCTCCCCCCTCAGGGTGCCGCTCCCTCAGGTGTGTCCCAGGTAGACCCGGTTGAGCCTGCTGAGGTAGCTGTTGACTCTCGTCCTGCTGGGGGTGCTGAGCCTGACCGTGAGGAGTCTGAGGGTGCGGAGCCTGGGGGTGCGGAGCCTGGGGGTGCGGAGCCTGGAGGTGCTGAGCCTGGGGGTGCGGAGTCTGGGGGTGCTGAGCCTGGAGGTGCTGCGTCTGGGGGTGCTGAGCCTGGGGGTGCTGCGTCTGGGGGTGCTGTGTCTGGAGGTGCTGAGCCTGAGCGTGCTACACCTGGAGGAGCCCTCTCCTCCCAGCAGCTGCAGGAGAGGTACCTACAGTACTGCCGCCTCCGGAGAGGTGCTACTGGAGCTCGTTCCGGTACTTCCCCTCCTGCCCAGGAGCTCCCCCCCATTCAGCAGATCCGAGAGTGGTACACGCGGCGCTGCAGTCTTCGGAGTGGTGCTCCTGGTGCTGCGGACCCTGGGGGTGGCGCTGCTGCTGGTGCTGAGGACCCGGGCGTTGGAGCTACTGCTGGAGCTGAGGACCCGGACGGTGGAGCTGCTGCTGGAGCTGGGGACCCGAGCGGTGGAGCTGCTGCTGGAGCTGAGGACCCGACTGGTGGAGTTCCTGCTGGTGCTGCGGACCCGAGCGGTGGCGCTGCTGCTGGTGCTACGGACCCGGGCGTTGGAGCTACTACTGAGGCTGAGGACCCGGACGGTGGAGCTGCTGCTGGTGCTGAGGACCCGGACGTTGGAGCTGCTGCTGGTGCTGAGGACCCTGCTGCTGGTGTCTATGCTGGTTCTGGAGACGCTGCGCGGCCGCGACCGCGACCGTACTTCGTCCCGCTTCTTCAGCAGGTTCTTGGTCAGGCTCCTCCTCCTTGTCCTCCTCCCTCCGTCGAGTGTCCTCCGCCTGTCCAGTCGCTGTCACAGTTCCCGCCTGCCTCGCTTCTCCCTGGTCCCTCTCCTTACACTGGTCCCACAGGAGGTCTTACGGAGCGTCGTGAGCCTGAGTCTCGTCCTGCGTCGCCTGTTCGTCCTGCTCGCACTGGTCGTCGTGTCCCACGTGAGCGTCCTCCTCCTGTCCCTAGCACTCACTACATGACTCTGCGTCCCTCCACTGCTCCTCAGCGTGTTCCGCTGCCGTCTCCTCCTGCGTCCTCTCTGCCTACTCTTCCTGATCCGGAGTCTGACTCCCGTCGTGCTACCAGTCCCACTGTCACCCGTCTCCTCGCTACTGTTGTCACTGACCCTACCTTTGAGTCCACCGCTGCGTCTTCTCTGGTCGCTGAGTTAGTTGACTTTGCTGCTGCCTGTCGTCTAGACTACGCCACTAGCCTCGTTGCTGAGTCTGAGTCTGAGTCTGTCTGTCCTCCGTCCGTCGGGGGTGAGTGTGCTCTTGGCACGGACGTCCTTGAGGACAGACAGGAGGAGTTCCAGTGCTTTGCTGCTGCTTTACCCCACCTCGTGTCCATGCTAGTTCACAGGCTCGGGTGCTTCCAGGCACCTTACTTCACCATTGCCCCTTTCGAGCACTGCTTCAGGGGCTGTCCGCACAGCAAGTCATTCCTGGGCAGGAAACAAGACTCAGGATAAGTTGCCATGGCGTCAGGAATGGTCCCGTCCAGCTGGTTCCCCGCAAGATACACCTCTTGTAGCGGCTCGGACAGCCCAAGCGCAGCGGGAATCGACCCTTGCAACTTGTTCCAAGATAGGTCCAGCACGCCCAAGCTTTGCAGATTCGCGATTCCCTCGGGAATGGTGCCGTTGAGGGCGTTGTGCGAGAGCGAGAGGTGCGTGAGGACGGAAAATTGCGAGAGAACGGTGGGGATGGCGCCCGACAGCTGGTTGTAGGAGAGGTCGACGCGCTCCGCCACGCCCGCGCACGAGTCCATGCTGGGAAGCTCGTCGGTGATCCGTTGCTCGCCAAAATCAGCTCCTCGGGACACGTGCTGATCGGAGGGAACTTGCCTAATGATTAGGCGTAAGAGGGGGGGAGGGAGGTGAGGACGAGAGGGTGAATTGGGCGGGTGGATTGGGAGGGAAAAGATGCCATAATGCGTACTTAGTGAATGGCATGTGGAGGGTAGTACGAGACAGATGGAAAATTTCTGATTTGGCACAAGGGCATCGCGGAACTGAGTCACATGAACCTTACAGCAACCAGCATTCCGCTGGTAAATATCCTATAATACTTTACGTCACGCACTCACCCGACAGCCTGTTGCTGCTCAGGTCCAGCTTCAACAACCTCTTGCTAGCCGTCACCGCCTCGGGCACGCTCCCGGACAGCGCGTTGCGCGCCAGCACCAGCTGCTGCAGCTGCGCGAGATCACTTATCCGGCTGGGAATCGACCCGGAAAGACGGTTCTTCGCGAGGTTCAAGCTGACGAGGTATGTGAGCTTCATGAATTCATCCAAGCCGCCTTGCAGTTTATTGTAGCTCATATCCAGCGTGACCGTTGACGCGTTTTGGAACATGCGGCGCGGAACGGAGCCGCGCAGGCCGTTGTGCGACAGGTTGATGTCCGCGAAGTTGAAGAGCGGCGCCAACCGCGGCTCCAGGTTACCGCTCACGCGGTTGTAGCTCAGGTCGAGGTAGATCTGCACCATGGTTCCTTCGCCGCGCGGCGAACGCGCCGGCCGACGATCCGGACAGGCGGTTGTGCGGCGCGTAGAATGCGTAGAGCTTGGTGAGCGCATGGAACCCGCTGGGGATCCGCCCTGTCAGGCCGTTAAACCCTAGGTTGACGGTGCTGAGATTGACGAGCGCACTCCACTCGGAGGGAATGGCCCCGGTGAACTGGTTGTGGCTCAGGTCTAGACTCCCTAAATTCGTGCTGCTGGCCAAGAGCTTTGGCAACGCGCCGCGCAGTTTGTTCCAGGAAATGTCGAGGACGCGCAGCGCGCTCGTGGGAGTGTCCGCGGGGAAGCTTCCCGCCAGGGAGTTGTGCCCCAGGTGCGCTTCTAGGAGAAGCGGGAGACTCAGTAACGAGGATGGAAGGGAGCCGGAGAGCGCGTTGTAGCCGAGGTCAAGAAAAAAGAGATTCGTTAGCTGCGTTAAGGACTCCGGAATGCTGCCGGTCAGCCGGTTGTTGCCGGCCGCCAGGTGCTGGAGGCTGGACACGTTGAACCCAAACCCCGACGGCAGTTGGAAGGTGAAACGGTTATCGGAAATCTCGAGGGAGATGAGGCGGCTCATGTGCAACAGCGCGGTTGGCGCGTCGGAGTTGTTGAAACGATTCGCGTGCAGTCTGAGGTGCTTGAGGGTCGACAGCGCGCTCATCGCGTTCAGAATGTCGTGCGTGAGATGGTTGTACGAGAGGTCGAGGTATATGAGAGGCAACGCGTACGCCTCCACGGTGGTGGGCAAGCTGCCCTCGAGGTTCGTGTTGGAAAGGTCGAGGTACCCGAGCGAGTGCATGGCGAGGAGATTCTTGGGAAGGGACCCCTTGAGTTGGTTGTTGCTGGCGAGGTTCAGTTCCATGAGTTTTTTTAGCGTAGTGAGCAGCGTGGGGATTTCATTGACGAAACCGTTGCACGACAGGTCGAGAAGGATGAGATTTGGGAGTTTCGCAATCCGCATGACGACGGGCTCCAGCGGGCCGGTAAGCTTGGGCGTTAGCAGCCAGACACACGGCGACATAACGAGCCCTGAAACGCGGTCGGTGTTATCGCAAGTGACGCCCCTCTACGTCATCCCGCAGACCGGTGCTTCGGAGTTCCAAGAGGAGAGGAAAGTTGCGCCCAAGAAGCTCTTAAGCTCCAAGAGAACCAGCGCGTCGGGATGCGGATCTATGGCGGAGAGCACGCGGATGGAGAGGAGGAACGTCAAGAGCACCGTTGCCAGCCGCAGACGGCGTCGGGATGCCGTTGGCGCGATCATTGTTTACTAGTCTCTGAGCAGTAGCGCGTACGTTGTTGCCGTGAGGGTCTCTCGAGTGATGATTGCCAGGGGTGATTGTGGCCGGTGAGACGATCGTTGACAGATTGTTTAGTTGGGCGTCTCATTGGAATACCTAGTCCGAGTGCGGATCAGCGGAGACTAATTTCTGTTTAGACAAGCCAGGGAGATCGCATTCTGTACAATAAGGGGCGGTATCACAGGTTTGTGTGTGTGAAAGTCGAGCCGATTGTCAAGATTATTGGAGGACAATGTTGAGGCTCGCTCCCTGCCAACAGCAAAGGGCTGGACATCGAGGCGCGCACCAAGAATTCAGCGCGACGCGACAGCAATGAACGGCCCAAGCACCGGAATACCGTACAACGCGGATGGGTTCGATAATCGCCAACAAGCTTGTTGTGCAATCGAGGGCAGAAAAAGGGAGATGCTTTTTGGGCTGCATGCAAGGGTCGGTGTTCATACATGCAATCGAGGGTCAGAAAAAGGGACTCAACTTCCTTTTGCTTCTTGGGGAGTGTTCATACATGCCTGGCGGAAACCACGTCAAATTTATACCCTACAACAGGGTGCTGTTCACGAGCAAATCATATTTTGAAATGAAAATGATGGCATCGACATCACGACCGCATATGGAAACGGAGGTGGAACCCACCTCCGAGGTTTGGCCGTAATGCCGTTCAGGAAACTCCTGCGTCTGCGGTGAGGCTCGGCACTTTTTTCACGGGCTGACCAGGCTGACGGAGGTTAACGAACTCTAACTGACGGGATCAGGAAGGCGAGACCCACCTTCCTGATCCCGTCGTTATCCCGTCGTTTTTTGCTAGAATGTTGCTGGCGAACAGCCCCCAGAATTCACAAGCAAGAAAAGAACTCGCTAACGGCGACCACGTCACGCGCTGTTCAAGGGGAAACGCAACCAACGGATAGTGCCCCTTCACGTCATGCTTCACGACTCACACTTACCTCGCAGGCTGGTTGGTTAGGAAACTCCCGCCAGCCAAGCGCGGCACAGCTGGACATGCGAAGCCACGTGCTCTGACTAGTAAGGTTGCGGCACTTCAGCGCGCCGCGACTCTTGATCGAACTGCGAATGATGGGCGCCGCAGGAAACTTGCTTTACAGCTTGGATTTCCGCCAAGCTGCGCTCTGGGCCTGAACTTGAAGAGAGGCTAAGACTAAGACTAGGTATTTGTCATAAAGCCTCGAATGTTCAGCATCTCGAGACCCAATCTAAACACGACGCAAGACGCGCAAACACCCAAAGCTCTCACACGACTAGACTTCTCCATTATCACCCAACTCCCAACACGTCTAGAAAATTCACCTCCCCAGAGCTTGCATTGCTACGCGCCTCTTTCCCCCCCCGACCTTGCCAGTGTGTGAAAGAACCACCTCATCCCAATGCCTTCAAAGCGCCTGCCCTTCGCCACTCTCCTTCTCCTGCTCCTCCTCTCCTTCCTCGTCCTCCCCACTCATGAGGACGACACGTCCGCAGTGAATGCGATATTCAAGGCCGCCGGCGCGTACACAAGCGGCGGGTCGCTGCCACCCGTGTGCGAGCGCGCAGGCATCACCTGCGAGAACGAGCGCATGGTGCGGATTGAATTCTCGCAATGCAGCGACCCGCCTGCCCCCGCCAGGCTGGACGGCACGCTGCACTGGGCGCTGGGGTCGCTGGGCAGCCTGAGGGCGCTCAACTTCTCCTGCAACAGCCTGCGCGGCGCCATCCCCAGCACGCTCACCAAGCTACAGCACCTCACGGCGCTGGACCTGAGCTTCAACCGCCTGCGCACGCGCGTGCCGCGCCGCCTCTTCCGCATCCCCGCCCTCCACACGCTGCGCCTGCGCAACGCCGGGCTCCTCGGCGGCCCCAGCCCACTCCTCTGCCTACCGGTCACTCGCTCTCAGCTCTGCCTTCGGATGAGTCCGTAGAGCCGAGTGGCCCGTATCCAGAGCTTGTGGGCTGCCTCATGTACCTGATGACCTGCACTCGACCTGACCTTGCATACCCTCTTAGCATTCTTGCACGCTATGTCGCTCCTGGCCGTCACAGGAAGGAGCACATGGATGCCGCTAAGAGGGTGTTGCGCTACTTGTGCAGTACGTCAGGCATGGGACTAGTGCTTGGAGGGCGAGACCGAGTTGTACTTACTGGACACTCAGACGCTTCTTGGGCGGACGACCAGGCTACACAGCGGTCGTCTCAGGGTTACACCTTCAGCCTTGGCTCTGGCTCAGTTTCTTGGCGTTCTACACGCTCTTCTTCTGTTCTCAGCTCCAGTTGTGAGGCTGAGATCTACGCCACAGCCATGGCGGCCCAGGAGCTACGCTGGCTGACCTACCTGCTGACCGACTTGGGAGAGCAGCCTCGTTCTCCTCCAGTGCTGTACGTTGACAACAAGGCTGCCATTGCCTTGTGTGAGGAGCACAGACTGGAGCACAGAACGAAGCACATTGCCCTGCGGTACTTCCTTGCTCGAGAGTTGCAGCAGCGCGGTCAGCTTCGTCTGCGCTACAAGGCCACTGAGGCCAACACTGCTGATGTGTTCACCAAGGCGCTTCAGCCTTGTGACCATCAGCGTTTTTGTACTCTTCTAGGCCTTGTACCTGCTGGGCCTCACTTGCTTACTGCTTGACTCTGTTTGTACTGTGATCTTTATATATATGCCTGCATGCTTACACTTGCTAGGTTGTAATCATTGTACTACTTGCTCTATTATAAAACTGCATGTGAACTGGCCTTGTGGCCACCTGCTTGTGCTCAGACTGTGTGGTGTCCTTGAGATCCACCCTGGGCTTTGTCTTATTTGCTCTTCGACTTGACTGGTCTTGTGACCACTGTTAGGTTTGGCTATCCCCCCTACTTCACCTATGGGGGTGTGTCAAATTATATGTTTCATATTATTTAGTTCTAGGTTGTGTAGGGGTGATTTCTTAGAGGGTACAACAAACTTCTCGATAGTCTTGTACCCCCTCCCCTTACCTAATCATCATTCATTCCTCTCTAATCTCGACACGGCGCGCTGCCCAAAAGGCAACCGCAAAGGAAGAATTTCTCACGCGCGCTGCGGCATGTAGACCTCGCGCACAACCGCCTGTGGGGCTCCCTGCCCAGGTCCATGGCCAGAATGCGCAAGCTAGAGAGCCTCGATGTGAGCTCCAACCGCCTCAGCAGCAGCATCCCCAAATCCTTCTCAACCGTTTGAGCTGCACCATTCCCAAGTCACTCCTCTCCCGCATCACATCGCTACAGAGCCTCGATCTGAGCTTCAACCACTTCTCCGGCAGGCTCCCCGCGGGGCTGATGGCGCAGCGCAGCATGGTGAGGCTGAGGATGGCAGGCAACCGCTTCTCAGACGTCATTCCCGCGGGGCTGAGAGGGATGACGCAGATCAGGGTGATGGACCTAAGCCGCAACCAGCTGCGCAAAGGCATCCCTGCGGGTATCCTCAAGATGCAATCTCTGGAGGAGCTGCGCCTGCACCACAACTCCCTCAGCGGGGCCTTCCCCAGCACGCCGGACTCCCTGTCCCACAGCATCAGCTACCTGGATGTGTCACACAACCAGCTGTCGGGGCTGCTCCCAACAACGCTGCAAAATCTGGGCAACCTGACGCACCTCAACGTGGCGTGGAACAGCCTCGAGGGCACCGTGCCCACCGCTTTGAACGCGCTGCCTCTGCGCCACCTGGACCTCAGCCACAATGGCTTTAATGGCTCGCTTGGGATGACGGCCCGCGATGCGCTGTATGGTCGGAGCAACCGCTTCGACGGCATGGTGGCAGCGGCGTTTGCCGATGGAAACAGGGCCCCGCAGAAGGTTCTGGACCTGAGCTACAACCTGCTCACCGCACTCAACCCCTTCCGAAACTGGAACCTGACCGAGAAAATTATCCTCTCATAACGCCATCCAGCAGACCGTGCCTTGGCATTTCCTTGTGGACGATGCCGTGGCGGGTGGCACGCACGCGAAGCACCTGGACCTGAGCTTTAATCAGATCGGCGGCACCCTGGAGCCGCTGAGCACGTTGACTGCGTTGACCAGCCTTGACCTGACGGGCAACCAGCTGACTGGCGGCGTGCCCACGTGGGTGAGCGCGTTGACGAGGCTGCGGCGGTTGCACCTGGGGGCGAACCAGCTGGGGGGGGCACTGCCTGCGGAGCTGTTCGCTGGGAGCTCGCTGCAGCATGTGGATATTAGCAGCAACGGCCACTCAGGTGTGTTATGAAGGGAGGGGGGGGAATGAGAGGGTGGAAAACGAGGGGCGCGGGGAAGGAGGCCCACGAGGGAGAAAAGGGAGAGGGTGAGGAAGAGAGTGGGGAGCTTGCTGCAGCATGTGGATATCAGCAGCAACGGCCACTCAGGTGCGCCATGAAGGGGGGAGCGCAGGGCGGAAAACGAGGGGAGGGGGGAAGTGAGGGCACGAGAAAGTGGAGGAGAAACGAGAGGAAGAGTGCGGAAAGAGTGGCTTAGGTGCTGCTAGGGATCTTGGAGGGCCCACAAGCCGTTTGGCCCTCCTGCTCCGTGCCCCATGCATGGAACAACATCTTCATAATCAAACTACAACCGACCTTCCCTCATAGAACTCTCTCTTTTGCCACCCCCCCTCCCCTCCCCCGCCCCTCCCCTGCCCCTACCCCTCCCCTACCCCTCCCCTCCCCCTCCCCCTCCCCCAAATCCGCCACCCCCACCAGGCGCGCTCCCCGACTTAGCCAGGTGCCCGGCCGTGCCGAATCTCTCTAATAACGCGCTGGAAGGCGCGCTGCCGCTGACCATGGGCACCGCCTGTCAAACCACGCTCACGGAACTCGACCTCTCGCGCAACAAGTTCACCGGACCCATCCCCACCGCGCTCACGCGAATTCGCTTCCTCCACCGCATCAACCTCAGCCGCAACGCCTTCTCCGGCTCCATTCCCAACTGCTTCGGCGCGCGGCGCGCGCTGCGGGAGCTCGATTTGTCGGATAATCTCCTCGAAGGGAGGATTCCGTCGGATCTGGGCACCCACTTGGCGTTGAAGTCGGTCGCGCTGGGCGGGAATCTGCTGTCCGGGCAAATACATTACCGGCTGAGGAATTTCCCCGTGGAGAGCTTCAGGCCCGACAACTTTCAGCTGTGTGACGCGCCGCTGTCTGCCTGTGTGACGATGTTGCTGTGATATGACGAGTGCGCGGCTGAGGTGACTCTTGAGTCGACTCAAAAGTGACCGCGCCGCTGCCCGCCTGTTCCGGCGTTGCAGTCATGTAATAACGAGTTGAAAGGCTGAAATTAAGGAAGGGATCGCAAGGTGAGAGGGCGGAGGGACGGAAGAGAGCTAGGTGGCGACGGTCGCATGTAGCAATAGGTGGCAGTAAGTTACTTGGGGCGTGGAACATTGCAACGACCAAACCCTAAAATCCGACCATTTGGCCGTCTCGTGCGAAAACGAAAAGTGTAACGGCAAGGCGAGCCCCGCCAAACATTCCGGAACAACCACCCTAAACCACCCCCGTAATTTGTCGGAAATTTTTTATCCCGCTTTCGGGATGCCGTGGAAAGTAGTAGGCGCGGGTAGATTAGATTGTTCAGCAAAATAACTGTGGGATGAAAGCACATTCGGGGGCGAATACCGTATGTCAAACATTGAGGTCCTGCTAAGTAGAGGTCCCAACTTGCTCGGTGGAGAATTTCATACTAAAGAATACCATTCGTCTTCTGTCAAGTAAGGGTGGCTACAAACTGTGAAAGTAACCCTACAAACTTCGCAATCGTCTAAACCGCCCATGTAGGCGACCATTCTGTTTGGTCGTTGCAATGTTCCACGCCCTTATGTACATACGAAGCTGTCATGCAGGCCAATTGGGCTGTCACGTTATAGAAATACTGTGTTTTTTTGGGCTTCACATTCTCCACAATATTTCTGTAAAAAATTGGATATTAGCACACTTGGATATTTTTGTATATTGGTGTATAACTGGGAACGCAAAACAATGCTCCTTAGACTAGTGATGTGAAGGCAGAGCTCCAGGACCTTCTCACAAACAGCCTGCTACGATCACCTCGGGAAGGTTCATACACAGTTGATTGGTAGTGTATGCCCTTGATGTCAAATGTTTCAGCCTTAGTGAGTTGTATTATAAGGGCTACAGCTGTTAGGGTTAGGTTTATGTAACCCCAACCAACCTTAGGGTACATTCTTGTGTCGACATTTGTGTCTCAATCACTTTGTGACACCCAAGAACAGCATAAACTGTATCGTGTCCCAAATGCGAGTCGTGTTTCTGCGACCGGTATTGTATTTTTCATTTGTCAGCGTGAAAAGCGCTGAAGTCGCGGACAAGTTGCAAATTGACTCGTCATTGTTAACAAAATCGCACGCGGTTCGAATGTCAATGCATCTGAACACCCGCAGATGCCAATTTCGCACAAGACCACATCCCAGCCGACCGATTGAAAAAACGGATGTACAGTCAATTGAGATACCCAATAAAATGCGCACAACTGTACATTTAGCCTTGTCGCCTGCAGTCGCGGTACATTTGAAGTTTGTGACGCGATGTTTTTCAAATGTGTAAATGCCACTCGGGAAAAAGGGGCATTGCGACATTTGTGTCGACACATGAATGTACCCTTAGTCAAGCGAACACTTTCATTTCTGACATGGTATCACCTAGGTTAGGATCCCGCAGGATCCCGTTCCTCTCGATCACGTCCGTAGCGCCCGAGCCCATCCCGTACCCTAGTGTTCGTCATGCCCGTGTCAAACCATAATAATGCTTATATTGTGTAGGCTGTAGTGGAGTAGCCCATTAGGGGTACAACCCAATTAAAATGTATATTTTTGAAAGTGTTACACTTTCTAAAATGACTTATTGTGAAAGCGCAGCAGCTTGTACGCAGCTCGAAAAGGCATCGTCGAAGTGCTATTCGCCCTTCTCCGAGTACAAAAGCAGGGGTTTCGGCAATTTGGCATCACCCACGGTTTCAGTTTTGAACTTTCAAGTTCAGTTTTCTTGCCCGTCACGCTGGCGAAGACACGTTCCCTCCCTCGCTTCTGCTTTCCTTCTACTCTGCTGACGGACATTCTTAACCACAACCTGTCAACTATGGCTTCTACCAACACCAACCAAGACGAGGCTATGAACGGGAGCGCCCGCCCGATTTCCGAGTCCGGAAAAAATATGGGGAACCCGACCGACGCCCGAAAAGGAAGGCGCCGGCCACTGCTGTGGAGGTTCTGCTCGGAGGAGGAGAAACGAGCGGAGCTCCCGCTGGTACACCTCGCTCCAGTCAGGAGCAGCGCGTGGAGCACGCGCATGGCGAGAAGAGGACAGACGCGGCTGACGTCACGCCAGCCACGTCTGACTTCGCGCGTGGCACAGGCACGCGCGGTCAAGGCGGCCGCGCCTCGGCGAAAGCAGATGACCACGCGCCGGCACCCGCCCCAGTTTCGACCCCCCCGAGTCTGTCGCCAGACCAGTTAACGGCGCTCCTGGCGCTGTTACAGCAGCAACAAACTACAGCAACGCGTTCTACTTCTGCAAACGATACAAAATTATTGCAAAACCGGAGAAGAAATGCGAGTCTTCTCCGCCACCTCGCGCCACTAAGCTGCCTCGCCATGCGGAGACCCCGTTCAACCCGACACCTGCGGCACCCCCCGAAGAGCCCGAGGAAGACAGCGACAACGACAGCGAGAATGGTGAGGCTTCGCATGACAACAATTTTCCCACCATCCTCGAACATCTCCCGCCTCTCCCGTCTCTTAACCCAAGCGTGGCTGCAGCATTGTTTACCCGCAAAGGCGTGCACGAGCAAGCGGGAGTATTCGAGGCCCTGCTGGCCTACCTGAAGCACGCCAACTTCAAGGCTCGCCGCGGCGACATCGACGGCGCGCTTACCCACCTCGCACAAAGACAAGCCCTCATTATGAAGCGATTTGAGGTGCTGCAGGTGGCAGATGCGGCTGGATTTGACACCGCTGACCGCTATCAGCTGTACCAGGCGAAGAGCATCCTCACCTCTCGCCCATTTAAGAAGACGGCGGCGGATGTGGCGGCGGCAAAGCGGAACTACGGCCCCTACGCTCGCGGCACCCGAAGCCACGCACGCGAGACAACACCGTTCAACCTTAAGGCATCCATCCCCGCCGCGTGCATCACCCGGCCCTTTAAGGGCTCTTGCTTTCGCTGTGGGCAGATGGGGCATATGGCGAATGCTTGCCCCTCGGGTGGCCCGGGCGCACGAGGCCCCGCACCCATGGTGTGATGGGTGTCACCACCATATGCTCAAGGCGTGAGGCCTTCGAGCTAACCCCGGGAGGGGCAGATGCGATTGCACCAGGGGATGCAAAGGCCAGGGGCCAGCCTAGGGAGGGCAAGGACCCGGGGTCCTAGGACCCATGGTCCGTTGCTTGCTCATCAGTGTAGGGGAGAGCGCGGGGGCGCCTATCTCTTTCTTGCATGTGTGTGTGTATGCCTTGGTGGCCCTTATTTCTTTGCTTGTGTGTGGGCCTGGTGGCCATGCTCTATGCTTGTGTGTAGGCCCTAGTGGCCCTTAACATATTAATGTAGTAATGATATTGTACGAGGCCATGCCGTTGCTTAAAAAAAAAAAAATAAAAAAAAAAATAACCCATAAGCGATTCTCGCGTTAGCCATTTAAGTGGCACTTGAGGACCACGAAGTCAAGCCTTCGGGGAAGCCACCGCGCCACTCGGGTATTATTGGCGGCAATCCAGCCCAAGGTTCCTCCCTTGGACTAGGCCCCGGCCCGTCGAAGTGCTCGATGCAAATATATATATATATATATATATATATATATATATATATATGCGAGTTGGTGGCGACAACCACAACAACAAAACAAAAACGGGAGAGAGAGAGAGAGAGAGAGAGAGAGAGAGAGAGAGGAGAGAGAGAGAGAGAGAGAGAGAGAGAGAGAGAGAGAGAGAGAGAGAGAGAGAGAGAGAGAGAGAGAGAGAGAGAGAGAGAGAGAGAGAGAGAGAGAGAGAGAGAGAGAGAGAGAGAGAGCCCAATGTTACGAGAAGTGTTGATCGCAATTTCTAAGGCACAACCGTTAATTCAATATTGCATCCTAACTCAGTACTTAGGCATCATCCCGTCGACTGGTTGCAGGCTTCACGACCATGGATGGACACTCTGATGGAGACCCCTACGAGCACGCAATTACCGACTTATGTGTCACATTCATGAGCGGTCGTCTCAGGCACGCATTCTCATGATGATGCTCGTGGTGTACGAGCATTTTCATCCTCTCCATCATCTCAAAAGGATACTGGCTTCCATGGAAGGCGGCCCCTCCCAAATCATTCTCCGCTCCCAACCATGCTGGCGCCTACAGTCATGCAAACTTCACCGGCGATGCAATATCCGATCTCTTGGCATCAAGGGCAGCAGTGGAAGCTCGCTCCATGCACGAGCTCACTTGCATCAGTCCCCTCAATGTTGTAGAACAACGCGACAAATGCAGGCTAATCTTGGATCTACGTCGCGTGAACCAACATCTTGTGATTCCCAAATTCAAGTACGAGGGCTTTCATCGTATGGCGGAATTAGCCCAACGCGGTGACTGGATGCTCTTCGTGAATTTAAAGTCAGGGTACCACCACGTGGACATCCACCCAACATGCTGGAAGTTCCTCGGCTTCCAATTCGAAGGTCGCTTCTTCCACTTTCGATCCTTATCGTTTGGTCTCGCGACGGCCCCCTTTGTCTTCACGCAATTGATCAAGGAATTGATTACGCGATGGCGCGCCAGCGGCGTTAGGGTGGTCCCGTACGTCGACGACACTCTTCCTCTGCAAGGGTTACGACGCAGCACAAAGAACATGCTCGACGGTTGTCGAGGACCTGCGACATGCGGGGCTGGTCATTAATCAGAAAAAATCCTCACCGACTCCGACCCAACGCCTTCGGTTCCTGGGTTTGGAACTCGACACATCGACATGCACCTTCTCCGTGGGAGCGGAGCGACGTACACAGCTAACCAGTACGTTGGACGCCCTTGAAGCTGCGGGCAATGCCCACCGACCAGTCCCCGTTCGCCAAGTGGCATGCGTGACTGGTATGCTCGCATCGATGTCCCTCGCTCTTGGGGCCACAGCGCGTGCATTCAGTCACAACTTACTCCAAACGATTCAAGAGGCAACCTCATGGC